TGTTTTACCGCCCCCTTTATGGGCTAGTTTTGATTTCGTCTTGAAAGAGCAAGATATAATTGTTTTTTCTCTTTATATCCAACGGTCGCATTATGAATTGAAATGATTACGCATATCTTCAAATAGATCCGACTTGTGTGTGAAAAGTGCATCAGTTTATTCAGTGCGAATGAAAACTCTGTTCATGTTCATCGCAGAATAAAAAATCTACTATATTTTTCCTTATTCCACTCTTCTATGCTTTGTCTTACTTTCATACAGCTTTTTGTGTTTTTATTTGACTCTCCGCGTAGCTGGGTAGTCTAAAAAACAAGAAAACATAATAGTCCCAGAGTGCCAGACTTCTAAACGGTACGTCCCTACGGTGGGTTTGTACGATTGACGTATGCGAGCCATGTCTGAAGAAGTCAACTAGAGGTGACGATACGTGGGGAGAAACAATTTCAGAGTAAAAGTAGCGCAATATTTTGGCTCAATAGCGTTCTGAACAGTTTGTAGTCGTAGATAGTAGTAATAGGGACTTTTAGCAATCCGCTACTGAGTTTCGCGTACCGCACTACCGGAGCCTCTGAAGCATGCTTCTAAGGGCGCGCCCCGATGATACCTTGAGCGGACGGTAGCGCAGTACGCGGAACACGGTAACGGATTGCTAGAAGTTCCCAATATCAATGTAGAATTCCATTCTAACGGAACCTGACTCAGAATTCGCCACCGTCCGAAGCATGTGCACTTGCGCCGCCGAACAACTGCGCGTTTCAGCACATGTCAACGCGTTACGATCCCCCCCCCCCCCCCACACACACACATTATCTGGCACTCCCAAAAAAGTGTCGTTAGATGGCTGTCCATTTTTCCATGACTCTCATTCTGCGTATGTATGACGGTTTATGAGTTGATGGGAAACTCGTACATTAAGATTGATCGAATTCGCTTGGCTTCTTTCGTGCCTTTGTCAGACTGGCACAGTCTCCGGACCCCCTGGTATCGATCGGCAAGCTTGGGAGAATGAAACAATCAAGGGCTCGAGATTGAGTATGATAATTGAGCTTAAAGGTGTCGCACTAAAAAGGGCAACGAGGATGTCTTATTTCTTTTTTTTTTTTTAATTTTGGTATTAAACTATCACGATACTTATGTTATGAAATTTCTGAAATGCTGTCATAAAGAAAGAGAAAGCAAGTGACTGTGGGAGCCTTCCGGGAGCCGCGAACGAATGTGTACGTCCACACGGCCACAGGCGGTCACTGGCGGTCACACGACAGCACGACAGTGACCGCGTAGCCTCCGCCGTGCATTGGGAGCGGCCGGCGCTTGGAGGACGGTGACATCACGATGTAGGGGACGCCCCGCTTCTTAACACTGTAAAGTCCCTTCATTATTAATTTTACAAGTAACGAGAACCAATCCAAATGACGGGGCCCATTCCGCTGAAACAAAATGGCGTCATTCCGTTCAGTCTTCTGCTGTGCGCCGCCATTCGCTTCCTTAAAACTGCACCGTCAAGCAGTCGGCGCTTCAAAGAATGTCGCAGCTTGTAAGAATTGCTCTTATGTAGGGACTTTGTAACACCGCGACGTCTTCTGCTCTGCGCGCGGTCAAGTAGTGCCGGGAGCACGTTGACAGGTGCTTTGGAAGCAAAAAACAAAACACGAAAAACCTCAATAAATTTTATAACTGAGCTCTAATGAACGGACGATGACGAGGCTTGCATTGGTGGGGAACCCGTATCTGAGCACCACCACAAAAAGCAAAATTCCAAACGGGCACCCTAACGTGAGGGCCGGTTTATCGCGCAGTGCAGCTGTTCCTTCATTTTTATTATTTTCGCCCGGCAGCAGTCTGAAATGCTTGGATGATAGCTGCTCCGGTTGCTATGTCCGTGCTCGCGCGATAGGTTGATCACGTACACAAGTCGAAATATCTCTACTGTATTTTTTTTTCATCACTTGATACACCTTGTGAGAAGTTGTTTTGAAGGTAGGTGAGAAATATGAGCTAATTGTGGAGTCCCAAAATGATATATGTATAATTCTTTAACCCAGTCTCTGCTGCTTTGCGTAGTTGTCTTTGGGCTTGCTTGCACCGATTTCGGATCACAATATCCGTACTGAAACTAACGAAAAAAATGTGAAAAGAAAACATAAATATGTGATAAGGAAATTTATTTCCCTTCGCAATTTTCTACCGTTGCTTTTTCATGCAAAAATGATAACTTTATTACTATACGAGAGTTATTTCTGTTCCCCGCTTTCATCTCCGTTAGTGAGAGGGGGGGGGGGGGGGGGATCAGGTACCAGCACTATACGTAATGCGTTTTCTTTCTTTTTTTTATATTGAGCCTTTCAGCTAGAAGACTGCTAGAAGAAAAGCGGTATTGATACGACAATTAATAACCTAGAAATAGACGTCAAACTGTCTATCAATCAGGGATGGTTTTATATATTCAGATTAAATTTTACAAGACATCACTGCAATCACTGTTCAAATGTATAAACTCAAAAGCGCAACAGAGCCCCGTCATCTGCAGTTTAAAAGCGCGCACGAAAGGGACCCCAAGTTCATCGCGTGACTAGCGCCATGTTTAAAAGCGTGCAGAGAGAGCGACGACGCGCGACCGAGCGCAGAGCCGTCAAAAGCAAGCGAAACACGGCGGCGCGCCGCAAGAGCCGTCACGACAGCACGCCGGCGTCGCTAGTGCGACCGTGCGCCCGTTTCACCGCGTAGCGCAAAGGCGCACAACCGTCACGAGCGCACTGCGCCGCTCGTAGCGCCATCTGTACTCTGACAAAGCAACTCAAAGAGGTGTCCGCGTCCTTGGTGCGCCCGTCTGCCCTGTCTTCCCCACTCCACGCGACAGCGCGCTCGTAGCGCCATCCGTACTCCGACAAAGCAACTGAAATAGGAGCCCGCAGCGCCCGTGCCTGCTTCCCGGCGCGCGCCCCTCCGCGCACTTCGCCATTGGCGCTCCGCAATAGCCCCTCCCCCTCCCCTCTCCCAGGCTCCTCCCCTCTTCTTAGGCCACGCCAGCGGCAGGCCAGCGACATCTTTACCGCAAATATCCTTGGCCTTCACTGCCGCCAAGTAAAGTGTTTTTACAGTCAGTCACACACAAATGGGTGAAGGCTAATTAGCAGCATGATGCTTCACATCCATGTTCCGCGAAAATAGGGGCAGCTCGTGGATGGTTACAAAAACCTTCTTTTTGTGCGAGGCTCATCAAGATATTAGGCACTGGAGAAAATCGGCCATCCGTGTTTTTGAAATGTTCACGTTTACTTCACCGCCTTGCGCACAATAAGGTCTCTACTGGGGTCACAGTTACCATGGCAACAAAGCCTCTGCCGAAAGTGTGCACACGCAGAGTCTAAAGCCAGGAACAGTTGGCATAAATTTCCTAATGCCGTCGTCTCTTACTGGTTTTCACTAGAGTCGCCGAATGTTCCCAGGATATCGAATTTCATTCAGTCCGATTATCGGAAGTCAATCCCGCTCAATCCAGTTCTGATTGGCTGTGTGGCAGAAGTTGTCAGTTGACCATTTTAGAGATGAACCGAAAACAACAAATGGCATATCAAAAAATGTTTCCGTGTTGCCGTGAGTATGCTCTGGTGGGTGCTCTGTGGATTGACGAGTTAGGACCGAGCGGAAGGTGCGTTTATTTGCTAATCTGGTTTGCCGGCTCGGTTGTTCACTCCGGTTGCGCCGGTGCTGCGCTTCAGACTCTACGCCTCGGACGCTAAGCCTAATGCTCGACTTGGACGTGTTTCGAGGCGGAAGAGAAAGAGATACGGCGAGGAGCAAGTCGCACGCAGCTCGGAACGAAGGAAAGAACTTTGATGAGAACAAACCATCGTCGCCACAGACCAGGAAAGTGGATTGAGGAGCACTTGACTTTGGCCGCACACGGCAGCGCTGCGTCGGGGATGGGTCCGAGTGCAACTGCTGCGCCGCGACTCGGTTCTGAAAAGGAGCTTGGGAGTTTCGGCACTCTGGGAACATTCAGTGACTCTCGTTTTCACGTACGGAGTGGTTCCCACATTTGTATCTGGTTGCGATCGGCCAACAACGAGATCAAACTGGAACGCTTAGCGGCAGCATACATTTTACCCGCAATTCTTTCGCTGCGAGCTTTAAAGAATTCCAACGACGTGTAAGAGACGGTAGTGGACGACAGAAAACGCGACCGCACGCTGGAAGACATTCTGGCTGCCTCGAGACATTGTGCGTGGATTTGATCTTGTAAATGGTGCAAAACCTCGGGTCTAGTTCCACACAAGTGGGGAGAGGGGCCACCCGATACCGGTGTGTTTTCTCGTAAGCCTTCAATCGCACGTGACCGTGGTGCAGTCAAACGCAATTACGAACCAGCCTTCGGAGAGCCAAGACAGAAAAGAAAGAGTGTTTCTTGTTTTTGGCGGAATATAATCTAGGGACGATGCTGCTGACAAGAAGCACCCCCTTGTGGTTTGTGCTCGATTTGTGCCTCTTATTTAATATTTTATTCTTATTTTTGTTTTATGCATTTTTATCACATTCATTTAATAATTTCTCGGTAATTTTTTGTTTTGATTTTTTGTTTCTTATTTTTATTTAAAGCCCATTGCTCTAGCTGTCAGTTGCATTCAAATAAAGTTTATTTACTCTACAAGACCAGCTGTGCTAGTAAATCGGAGGATGTTCGTAGCGCAAGATCGTCTGCTTGCTCGAGCGTACCGGTACGACGCCGAGCTCTGATTGGTTTCGATTGGAAGGATGCTGGGTAGACCTCGAGGCAGATAGCATAGAGGTCTATCCTCGCAATCAGAGCTCGGCGTTCCGACGTTGCTGCAACCCCTGTGCACGAACCGGATGGTCTTGTGCTCCATGTAGTATGCAACTGCCACAGCACGGTTTTGTTAACCCGGATTCAACGGGTCTGGGAGCCAACCCCCGCCGCAAGTAGTAATTTGGGTGGCACCCAACGGTTGCCGGATACCGCATGCAACGTGTGCCCCGTGCAGATGTGGACGAGCAGTCGAAGAAGGAGATCAAGGACACGCTGATCCAGTACGACCGCACCCTGCTGGTGGCAGACCCCAGGCGCTGCGAGCCCAAGAAGTTCGGTGGACCCGGAGCACGCGCTCGCTACCAGAAATCCTACCGTTAGATTCCTCCCAATAAAGCTGTTGGCTTTGGACTGGGGACTTTCAATTGTACATTGAAGAAAGTCTGCTACATCTCGCACTAAAACACTTGTATAGTTACGGATAAGGTAAGAACTGCAGCCATGCTTGTGCCGAAGGGTTGGAAGCTGGAGGCAGAAAACTTCTCCCCACTGTAAAACATTTGATGTATTGAGCGTTTTGGTGGTTTATTTGGAGCCTTGTACATTTTCATTCTGCCGATGACGAGTGAAGGCTACTTATTAACCAAGATTGGTGTGGAGGCATCTAGCCGGCGACGTGTGAAGAGCCCCATAGACAATCCGCCTTGAGCTTTCTACCTTTGATAATGCTTTGCTGCACTGGCCGCCAGACCCTCTCGGAAGGCAAGGAGTGCATGCTGGACGCAGAGTATCTACCTTACTCTCGAAATATGCACAAAAACCATATCCTTGTAATTGCTTGCACAGTGCCAGTGGTGGAACTGCTGCGCCATTTGCACCAAACTGCAGAAGGAAAACCCTGCTACATTCTGCCACAAAGGCTGTATCTGTACACAATTTGTGCCATGTCTGCACCAAAAGAAAGCTGTTCTTGAAAAGGAAACTGTCTGGCACATGCCATTGTTGGCGATGCTACTAAAAATTTTTTTTTTTATGGTTAAGGATTATGTGCAAAGAGGAGAGTGCCGCAAATTTTAAAATAGTGCTTTCAAGTGATATGCTATTTGATATTGACTTCCAAAAATTAATTGCGATGTTTGTACTTTATCGGAACTGAGATTCGGAAGGGTAGCCGAATCCCAAGCAGTTCGGAAAAGTTCAGAAAGATTCGGAGCGTTGCCATGGTTGCCAGATCACGTTGATGAGTGTCAACTTTTCATGATATTAAAAAGGTTATGACACGCCAAAAATAAAATATGAGAACTATACTGCTAGGACCCCATTGTATGTTCCTATAATCCTGCTAAATTTGTTTTGAAAATGGTGCGATACTTTCATGGAGATATCGATTCTTATGCGGGGCCCTCGGAGCGGCAGATCCGGGCGGAGCTGGAGTTTGGCTACGTAGCCAGCCTCCAGCGCGGTGTCTCCTTGCACGCACTCGCAGACTGGGCTCTCTTGGCGTACGAGCAGTACGAGCCTCAGCTTCCTCGTTTGCCTTTCCACGTTAGAGCATGCGGTCCATGACGATTACGTTTACGGCATCGCTCGCCTTGTCGAAGTGAACATTGATCGCAGCAGCGACGAGAGTGATTGCTATCAAGAGATGTTGGAAGCTGTTCCTTTTGAGTGCGACCCGCTGGCGACCAGCTCCAGCGACGACGAGTTACGGACGAACTCGCCGTGGTCGCCGTTGTCCGGGGATATCTCGCAGGCGCATGCAGGGTGGAAGGTCAAGGGGGCGAGAGCGAGAATAGTTTTCGGGTTTCCTAGGAGCTTTCATGCCTTCATGTGCCCCCTAGAGCGCACATGAAGGCACTCTAGGGTTTCCGAGTTGTGCGAGCGGTTTTCATCGTACCGCGATGAGAAGAGCTTGGGCGCCTAGAATGAGAGAGTGTTCATAGTCACGTGGTTTGTGGACACCATGGAGTGTCTAACTTGAGCAGTGTTGCCTGGTCGACAGATAAAAATGATAAAAATACGTAAATCCAAAAATCGCGTAACCTGGAGCATATACAAAGTAGCCGAAGAGCATTCCATTTCAAGAATTATCTATCCGTTTAATTTTCGTGTCATAACACCTTTAAACTCACTAAATTCTATAAAGTGCACAAAATAATATTGTAATATAACCTAATAGTAATAAATAAAATGTTCCGCTTTGTTTATATTATCTTGGATGTTTGTCGAGAACGGTAGCGAGAAAATTTAATTAGTTTGGGTTTCGGATTATGACCAAAATAAGCATGCGGAAGCACGTGGATATACAAGTGTATGTCTTGATCGCCGCAAGAGATGATGCCATAGGTGCTGTTCGGTATTGAAACATTTCATGACCATAATTACGGTTATAGTGGCACACACCACACGAGTGAGTATGTTCGATTCGATTATCTTGAACATGTGTCCACTGAGGTATTGTTATCGGAACAAGGGAAACAACATCAATAAAAATAAAACGATGTAAGAAAATATTTATATATAAATATAAATGCGCCATGACACAGCCGTACAGAGTACGTGCAAAAAAACGAGCAAGTCAGGGAACCAGAAAATTCATCTCTGCCTGGAAGGACTGTCTTACACATGCCCACCTCGCTATCTCAACAGCCTCTCGAATTTCCCGCTGGTCCCTGTGACGCTTCTAGAGGCTGTTGAGATGGTTGTGTACGCCCTTCCTATCGGGCAAAGAGATGAATTTCCTGGTTCCCTGCTCGTTGTTTTAGCAATAGACCTGAAAGCTGCCTTGAGGTCTACAATCTCCTTTTCGGCGACGTCACCCCTGCAAAAGGAGCAACTTGCGCTCCGCATTACCTACCGGCCGGACAACAGGTCTGACAGGTTTCGTCATTTCTTGCAACATCGGGGCCATTGACCCGAGGCACACCATTCGAAAACTCGTGAAAGCACGCTCTGACGTCGAAAATCAAGCCTCTCACATTTTCTACGCCCCGTATGAACTCGAACGTGCCTTGTTAAACACCCAAGATTAAAGCTGTTTTTCCCGATATGGTAGTTCCCACGAATGTCTCTCATCACTCAATCATTGTTAAGGTTAAACATAAAAGAAATTGAAAGACGTTTACAACTCCCTGTAACGCCGAATTAGAGCGGTGCTGCGCGCCTCCTTCTCAGTACCCTCGTCCTCTCCTCCTCTTGCCTCTCCTCCTTTTCCTCCCCTCCTCCTTCCCCTCCCAATTCTTTATCCTTGATTATCAATATTATTATTATTATTACTACTACTAATATTACTGTATGAGTCTGCGCAGTGGCGTACCAACTTGTTTTTGAGTGGGGGGGCAAACCCGACCCTCTTCCCCCCCCCCCCCCCCCCCCCCCCCTTAATCGAAAATTCGGCGCAACTTTTGTCGAAGTTTTCTAAAGATTTGGCAATGATTCGGCAAAATTACAACGTTACCAGACTTAACATTAATATTTTGTTTTTTCTCACGAAAAAAATTTTGCTTCTTAAAATAAATACAACTTGTAGTACCTATTGAAACAGTTATGATTAAATAAGGTGATATTCTACAAGATAATTGTATCGATGTCGCTTTTGTGTGTTTACTGGCAATTTTAGTGTTTGCTTGCAGAAAGTGGCGTGACAACGAGGTTGGGTAGTAGCCGGAGCAGTCACGAATCACACTACGAGAGTTTTGATTTTGAGGCTTCATCAGCGCACGCCTGCAAGTGTGTTTACATTGTTAAAATAAAGACAATCACTGCGTTCTTACTTTCTCTGGGAGGCACCGTTTCGTGCGCGAAAACGGATGCAACGGTTGTTTAGCCTTCACCAGAAGAGATAACAATACTGTAAATATGCATGTTTTTCGATTTGAGTCACTTGACGTCAGCTTTGCATGAAAGTGCGCGTTCCATATTCGCAACGTGCCGTTTTTAACCTTTAAAATTCCGGTTTCTGGTGTTAGGACACACACGGACGTTTAGGAAGATGGGGAGAGTTAGGAATGTCGGATGTGCAACGTCGAGCATGATAGTTCTGTGTTTAACGAATACTTTTCATCAGTGTTTACTAACGAGTGCTTGGGCTTCGTCCCCACTCTCCCTGAACAGCTTTACGAGCGCATGCATCCTATTAACGTTAACTCCGCTGGTATTAAAACATTGATTGATAAACTAAAACTTACTTCGTCCGCTGGAACCGATAACATCAACCCTAAAATTTAAAAGAAACACCCGTGTTATTTCTAGTGAGTATTTGAAACTCATCTTCATTCAGTCCTCATCTCAAAGCTGCCTTCCATCTGACCAAAAGGAGGGAAGGGTAATTCCCAGTCTTTAAACAGGGCAGCCGCTCTTCCGCATCTAATTATCGCCCTAATTCATTGACTTCAATTTCTTGCAAACTACTTGAGCATATCCTCTACTCCAACATCACGAGGCACCTATCATCCCATTTCTTTTCTTTAAACAGCAGCACGGTTTTCAAAAGGTACTTTCCTGCGAAACGCAACTCTGCGACTTCATCCATGACTTGCACACTATCCTTGAATGTCACGTCCAAACTGACGCAGTTTTTTTTTTCCAAAGCGTTCGGCCGTGTCCTCCATCAACGCCTTCTTTCTAAGCTATCATCTTTTTGCCTCGACCAATAACCGTTTGCATGGATTCGTGACTTTCTTTTTTCCCGTGTACAGGTCACGTCCATGATGATCATGAATCTTCCTTAATAAATGTATCTCCTGGTGTTCCCCTGGGGTTCGTACTTGGGCCCTTACTCTTTTTAATATTTATTAATGACATTCCCATTGGGATTTCTTCAAAAAAACGCTTTTTCGCCGACGACTGCGTCATCCATAACAAAGTAACTTGTGTGCAAAATAATAACCAGCTTCAGGAAGATCTAGATAAAATTAACAATTGGTGCAAAGAGTGGATTATGTCACCAAACAAGTATAAACGCAAACTAATCCACTTCACCAAGAAAAAAACCACTCTGTCATTTAATTACTTCTTGGACTCCGATCTGATTGAGACCGCTACTGTGTATAAATACCTTGGTGTAAGACTAACATCTGACCTTCCCTGGAACAACCACATTGAAGTCATTACCGCCGATTCATCTGGAACTCTTGGACTAAGCAGACGTAACTTAAAAAATCGCTCCACCCTTTGTCCCTAAGCTAACCTTTAACACGTACGTCAGACCAAAAATAGAATATGCTTCAACCATCTGGAATACCCATCGACTGTACCTCATCAATACGCTGTAGAGGCAGTTCAGAACAGAGCTGCTCGCTTCATTTCATCCACTTATGACTTTTCTTTCAGTGTCTCGGCGCTAAAAACTGAACTAACCATCTCCTCTTTGCAGCTTCGCAGGAAAGTCTCTCAGCTGTGCCTTATTCACA